AGTGTGAGTCAGAAGAGCAATTCGCCCCGGTTTCAGGTCCAAAAAGTGCGGGCTGCTTGACTGACGGGGGGCTTCTAGTAGAGGACCCTAAAAGCCACTCCCCCGCCCCGTTTCCTATAATGCACTCTAAACGGACTGCCCCACTAGAGGGGACAGAGTGAGTTTTCTAATTAAAAAGAAGGCTAACCCAGTTCAGTGGGGGTCTCTTTTTTTATGTGGCGTTTCCGACTACCAGGAAGCCATTTAAAAATAAGGGAAATGGCCGGAAAATTGCACGATTATCTATGGCCGCCGTGGAGCGGGAAATTAAAAAATAAACTTTTTTTAATGAAATAATTGTGTTTTGTATAGTCGGGCAGGAAGTCTGGCTTTACCAATTTAGTTAGAGAAAAATAGAAAAATTGTTACAAATTCAAACAGGCAAAAATCGCAAATTTCCTGATCTGGATTTCGGTGCTTAGCTAGTAAAATTTTATTTCTTACTGTAGGGGGTTGCCAATCGTTTTATTATTTAAACTGATAGATAGTTAAGCTATTTTGAGTATAATCATGAATGTCACCGACCGGAATGATGGATTGAGCCGGAACTTGACAGCTAGGTCACTGAAATGGTGTTTTCGGCTCATAAATATTTCGTTTTTTCGTTTTTATGCATTTTTAACTATATGAATAGTTGATTCACTTAACTGCCACGCAACCCATTGGTTATAATAATAATCTGCTAAAAATATGACCCGGATTCTAGACTGACCCGGAAATGCAGTACGCGTGCGGCCCGCCGACCCGGAACTGGAAGAGAATACGCCCTCACAGGGAAGGGAGACCAATTTGGTTGAAAATCGGATAAGGTGGGGTGAAACAGAAGACGGCGTTTTAAATTCGGTTAAATGGAAAAAGCGCGACTAAAGATACTTTTTAAGCACTATTGGGCTCAAAGATAAAAAGGCGATCGAAGGTTCAAAAACACGATTTTCACGATTTATTCGAAATTTTCGTTTTCTAAAAGGCCAAGACTATTTTTAAATCACAATCTGGCACCCAAACTACAAAATTACAAGCTGGAAAATTGCCAAAAAATAGACAATTCGATTTTTTGCCTTGATTCCTGAAAATTGAAGATGTCAAAATAACGATTTTCCATTCTTTTTCAAAATTAGCGTTTTCTCCACGATTAAAGTGTTTTTAGTTTTCAAACTGGCATGTAAACTACAAAGCTAAACACGGATACTTGCCAAACAATCCGGAACTCGATATCTGACTGAGCTGGAACTCTGAACTTTTACCTCAAAAACCAATTAGCTGAGGGGTACGAAGCAGTACTATCAACACGCCACCCGGTCACATTACATTACAGGAAAATGGGTTTTTATGGAAAAATAACCGGCCGAATAAGGTTTCCAACTCTAAAGTACAAAACGGGTTGAAAACGCTTACTATGGTTAAAAATAATTAATTTTTAACGTTTTTAGGGTCGTCATTTCCGCCTCCCCCTCAGGGGAGGGGCTTTGAAGCCTTCGAAAATTGCATTCTAAGCGGTGTTTCAGGGGAAGTACGTGATGAGGTAAAAAAAAGAAGAAGAACTTCGTTAAAACGAAGACTTCCTTGTAGAAATATTAAATTTCCTAGAAACAATTCTTAGAAAATCGTAAAATTTAATCAAAAAATAATTTTTGCGACATTTTTAAAACTTTCAGGCCGTTTCCCGCGGTTTTGGAGGTTAAATACGAACAGGGACGTAGCGTAAGGTGGGCCCCCTGGGCCCGGGCCCCCCCTCCCCCCGAAATCGGCCGGGGCCCGAAAATTTCATAAGGGGGGACCCTTATGATTTTTATTTTCTCAAAAATTTTGTTGCCTGCGGCGCTATTTTTTTACGTTTTTACTGCTATTTGTAGAGTTACATAGCCTTGTTTTTAAACATTTTTGCCTGCGGCGCTGTTTTCTTGCTAATTTTTTGAGTTTTTCGGAAAAAAATTTTCGGGGCCCCCCCGAAATTTTTTTCTGGCTACGCCCCTGAATAAGAACAATAAACTTTAGAAGCGCGATTATGTTGTTTTTCTGTTGGTAGTTTTTAAATCCTAAAAATGGTGGCTATTTATTTAAAAAATCTGTTAGTTTTGATCGTCATAGTTCAAACTTTTTCTAGTGAGTGGGTGTATGTTTTGCCCCCACCCTAAAATTCATTCATTTCTGAGTAATGATGAGAAGGCACCGATTTTATGACGAAGCCAATATAAGGAATGTGACTCAGAAAACTATTGCGTTTTTTCTTTTTTGGTTTTTCTGGGTGACCACCTGGCCCCCATTCTTGAGGAGCACCCTTCCAAGAGGAGGACCTGGCCCGTATTTTCCCGTAATTTGTCATCCGCAAAACGAAGCCAATTTTTCGAGACTGGGGTTGCTAACTGGCTGGACCGAAAAGAAAATAATATAGTGCTCAAAGGAGATGTACTTTAAGTAAACTCTTAGAAAAACTGCTGGAAAGCAAAACACAGATCTCTGATTCTTATTCTATTCTAGAAAAACCGACACAACCCAGAAGATCCGAAAAATATAACACAAAGTATTAAAAAACCACGGAATTGGCGAAACAGGATCATGCAGCGCGGATTACGATAGTTTGGTTGATTAGGTGATAGTACTAGGCGTTGACTTCAAACACTTTCGTCGTGCACAAAATTCCGAGCTACCGTATCCGGTTACAGTAACCAGTACCGCCAACGGATAATTTTGCAACGTCGTAATTGGTGTGTTAGCTGGCAATGAGAAAATTTTCCCTTTCCTGTGGTTTTTGTCGGTATTGTAGCGCTATAACTGGAGTACGGTACTTTCCGCTACAGTATAACACCCTATGGACTCGAAAATTCTTATCATTTTAACCTCTAAAATCAGTATTTCAATTTTAGCCCTCTAAAGGTCGATCAGCATCAAATTAACCAAAAACCCGATGAAGACTCTGAGGAATTTGCAAGCTGCAGAATCCAAAGGAGCCGTTGAAAAGAGCAGCACCTCTCTCTCATCTCTGCTCTTGCTCCGTCAATTGGACTCAATTGGAAATTGGCCTCTCCTCTTTGTTGGGTTTTGGGTCGGAGGAATTGGACGGGGCTTTTCCCCAACGATTCGACCCATTATTTCACCCCCTCCTGCTCCGCGAAATGCTAATCGACCTGGTACGTAGGGGTAGAAAAAACGGGGTTTTGGAGGTTTAAAGGGGACAAAATTACAGAGAGCGAGACGGAGAGAGACAGAAAGAGATGAGAGAGAGATAGAGAGAGAGAGAGAAATCTCTTAATTCGCTAGTACGAAAAAACGGACCCGGAGACTCAGCCTTTAACGAGTTAGGGTTCAAAACACAGAGTGTTTGCCTTTCGGAAAGCTTTTAAAATGCGACTACCCTCGATCTGACACCCATCGTCGAAGTCGATCCGGAGCGTGAAAACGTACGGAACAGAGGACGGCACGTAGCAGCGTAAGTACGTACAAAACGTGACCAAGCACATGGATTTGAGGTCAAACGATAAGCTGCCTGCCGAAATGATCTTCGCGGGTTTAAGGGGCTAGAAAGGTGCCAAAATCGTGTGTGTTTCGTTATTTTTATGGTCCTTTGTCAAAAATCATTCGCTACCAGCCAGCTATCTTGAAAATATTTTTTGTATCTAATAAGCCGAGTTATTTAGTTTATTCTCCATCTCGATACAAATTGCATAGGATTCTAGCCGAGTGACTGAAGCGCTGTGAGACAACAAATGGACTCGTTATGACTATGGCTATTAGCCGTCGAGTTGATTGGCTTGGTTAGTTGGCAGTCAGATGGCTAGAAAATTGAGGCAGGTGGATTATGGGAAGAAAATAAAAAGAAAGATGAAGAATAATAATCAGGAGAAGCTATGACAAATAGATATGACGCTTACGACACGGTCAAACAAAGCTAATTCTGTGACTAAAGGGACTGAGAAGCCAATTTTATGGCGAGAGAGCAGGAGAAGAACATAGAGAAAAATGACGCTTTGTAAAGGTCCAGCCAGACAAGACATAGTGATCGGTTTTTGTCTACGAATTCAAAGAAATTTTGGCGTGCCGCGACACGCAACGCCACCCACACAAAAGATTGATCCGCTTTTACACGTCGAAGTTACGCGTTGCGGCGCGTTGCGTATAGCGGCCGAAGCCAATTTAGACGGAATCGCGAATAATCAATGACTATTCAAGCCACAGTCTGACTTGCCGGTCCCTTTAAAAATTGGCATGCAATAGAAAATTTAAACAAGTCAAAATTTCGTAAATGCAAAAAATGAAATCCAGAATTTGTGACTTGCCTGTGGATTTTCTCCGGATCCGCAGACAGAGGATTACGGTAGGATAATTGCAATTAGTGGGTGTGTGATGCGTGGAGAATACGATGTTGTGGGCTGGAATACCAAATAGCAGAGGATTTAGGTATTTACGATGGATGGAAGGGGGGCATTTACGAGCAGACGGTAATTAATTGAGAGGAGGGAGAGAAAGAGAGAAAGAGTGAGAGAGAGAGAGAGAGAGAGAGAGAGAGAGAGAGAGGGAGAGAGAAAGCGAGAAGGAGCCAGAGAGGGATGGGGAAAGAAGGAATTATTTAAACGATGAAGAAGTGGGGGTGGTAGGAAAAAGAAGAAGCTACGAACTACTTAGTTACCTAGAGGATTCTCACGAGATGTTTCGAGAGAGATAACATGTTTTGGCAGCTTCGAGGAGGCGTAAATACTAATAAATACTTTGACCCGCGAAATTGATGAAAGAACAGTTTCTTCAAAATAAAGATTAAAAATGAAGTTTTATATCAATAAGTCAAAAATTAAGTTTGATATTATTAATTTTCGCGTTAATTTTGCATCGTTATTGGTCTTTAATGACCGAATTTGTCAAAAAAATTTTCAAATGAATTTTCATCTGTATCCATTCTTGCTTTCTGTGTAATTCTTTTGTTAACAAGGTATTTATCACACTACGCCATCTTGCAGCTTGCGTATTTAGCAAGCTTGTAGCGTAGTACTGGCGATAGATCCGGTGGTAACAGAATATTTTGGCATACTCCGCCCCTTCAGACGTGTCTTCATCGAAGCCGATGTCTAAACAGTCCATTTTTATTATTAATTCATACAAAACGAGAAAAATCCCAAAACCTACAAATCCGGATGCGGCCAGTGTCCATTGGTAGTTTTGCGCTTTGACGAACCTGGAAAATAAAGGTGCTTTCATTTTAAAAAATAAAGTTCCAAAAACTTGCTTGAATTGTCTTCCTATTTTAGAAACCTTTCCGATTAAGGGTTATTAAATTCGGTTCAACCCTACGTAATCGTGAAGCTGAACGGGTTTCCGGCGGTGAAGAATGACTGCGTCTTCTCGATTCGCTTTTTGGCGCCGCGCCAGCCGAGATTTTTCTAAATCACGATCAAAGCTTACTGTAAGAAAAAACAATAATTTGGGTTTGTTAGTATACAGTTTGGCCAAAACGCGTTGAAAATACAATCGACGATGGCTAGCGATACCTTAAGCCATGAAATTAGGTCCAAAAAGCCGTTTTCTGGTTGTTTTATAGTTTCCGACGTGGTTTAGGGTTTCTGCTATTTAAAAAGATGGAAAAAACTTGCAATTTTGTCATTCATGATCACTTTTCCATCAGTGGTGATATTGAGATTGAATTGGATGATGCCATTCTTGTCTTTCACATTTGTCGCGCGGTCACTCCCCGGGGACATCGCCGAGAAACCCAGCCTAAAAATGGTATGAAAATGTATAACATTTGCAAAGGCGTAAAAAAGCCGCTAAAAATAAGCAAAACGCAATCGAAAACCTTACCATCCACTAGTGGAGGCGGTTCCGGTGATATTCCATACAATAGTGGCCGCCGTCGGGCAGGATCCATCCATTGCTTGCATGAAGTCGGCGGCACATATCGGCACTAGCTGTATCTTACTGTAACCATTAAACTTTATTCTGACCTACCAAAACCACAGCGAGAAGCGCGGAAAGTTTGTTGAACATCTTTCCGACTGAATTCCAAGATTTCATCTTGGGAATTCCGATTCCAAAAAACGGCCTAACAACGCGGAGTGTCATGGCGATTTCTCAAAACTTGCCCATCTCCTAGTTACGATCGTTTTGTTGGTCTGGAAGCCATTAGCCCGGATAAAACATGGCATTTCGAAAAGATCTCGATTTATGGAAAATCTGATGAAAAATTAAATTTTGAGGTGCGTAGTTTTTTAGTTTTTAATTTATTTCTTTAAGCTAACATCCAGGCAATGGAATAAAACTTTATTAACGTCATAAAGCACAGAATTCCGGTGCTTTATTCGACTCTAGTAATTTTTGTCGTATCGTTTCTGCCACTCCCAAAATTGGTAACAGTAACATTTGCGGCTTTTCCAGCCTTCGATCTTGGCGGGATATTGAAAAGGATCACGATCAGCCTGAAATTATTAAAATTTAGGTTTGATCACCTCAAATTAACTACAAACATACAAACAAACGTACGTCAATATCGCATGCCCCGTAAATGGCACAATTTCCAACACCGAGAAGAATATTATAGGGACGGAGTTGCGGATGACGTGATTTGCGATAAAATTGCCGAATAGGAAAGTGACCGTCACCACGTGGGTTACCATTAACTGAAAAATAAAGAATAAAATGTATTTCAAAGCTATAAGACGAAGATTTCATTACGCAATCGGTTTTCCTAGAGTCATTTTTACGTTTTTAGCACGAATTTTTGGCCGTTGTAGGTTTAAAAATGATTGCAGATGGTTTTTTGATCATATTATAATTGAATTTAGGTATCTAGACATACCATAATCGATAATCTGACATCGGCCCGTTTTCTCCGTTCAGATAGCCGAGTCTATAATAGTTTTTATTCAATTCCACGTTGATTCCCAAGACATACCAGTTTCCGTACTCTCCACAAAGTGATGCCATCCATGATAAGGGTAATGCCAAATATACCATACAATACTTTATCCAATTCAAGTCCTAGAAATGCCCCCAAATCTCCGGCCCAGGTGAACCAGATCATGTTAGCATATTCTTGAGGGCTAAACCACCAGCCGCCATAGCAAATGTAGCCCGTTACGGGGTTTATTGCTGGAAAATTATACTTTAGAGTTAATTTACATGAATTATAATTTTTTGGGAGCCAGAAAGAACCAAAAGGGTAATTTTGACATTTAAAAAGCTGGTTCAGACCGAAATTAAGCTTTTCAAAACTCGGAATTTGATGCAACGGTTAGTTTCGACTTGAAATCACAGGTTTACATTTCGAAAAGCTTTCGAAATTTAAACATTAGGAATCTTTTTCTGCAGAAAAAGTTTAATTAGATGCCGTAAATGATAAAAAACCAGCTTTTCAGGTCCGTTTCAAAATTTACGAGCCTTTTACGGCCGATTTTGACGTGGCTGAAGTAATTTTACGTCTGACTTTTTCTTTTAAGCCCCCTAGCTCTTTAAAACACCCACTATTTCCCATTTGAAACAAATAAACGGCAATCGGCAATAGCCATGATATTAAAGCGTGTGGAAATGCGAAACTCTCCATCGTTTTATAGTAACGACCGTTGAAAAATACGGCAAAAACTCTGAAAAGTTAGTTTTTAAGGGGTATCCTGTAATACCGATTTAATGAAAGAGCATTCCCTAATAATTGCATCGAATATAACATCCCCAAATCAATAGAAGTTATCAGTGAATTGAAGAAGAAGCCGCTAAACGGAGATCCCGAAGTGTCGACACACCACCAACTGAAAAAAAATCAACGGCATAAAAATTACTGCCTAGTCGACGTCTTTAAAATATAGTTTAACTTACGTAACTACACAGTGAATAAGGAATAGACAGTTTACAGCCTCGAAAAATCTGCAGAAATTGTCGAAAAATAGATAGCACTTGACGGCCCATGAAATTAATGGATTACGATAGAGAATGTAGAAACACGAGATGGAGAGGGTGAGACTCAGGAGGCCGAACTAAATCTCATTTTTTAGGCTTGTGCGGTTTTCCGTTAACTTTGCCTAAAATTTCAAGGTGCACGTACGTACGTTTAAAAAGTGTAAACAATGCTAAATCAACCTCGCCAGAATGCTGGATCTCGATTTTTAACGACAAAAAAAGGCTATCGAGACCTAGCTAAATTTGAGCCGGTTTAGGCCTTCTCTTGCTCTTTTAAAAGCTGGGATTGTAAAATTATATAAAAAATCCCCGTTACAAAATAATACGCCCAAAAACTCACAAAAACCAGCGCTGCAATGACGTAAGGATCAGTTTGTACAGTGGATTCCCCTCGAACAGGTATCCCATTCCAAGTATGAACTCCTCCAATAGTATTCTCATATATTCCATCATATTCGGCACAACCATATAGCCCCTCGCCGTATTCGTATAAATCTTCAGTGGTGGTTTCTTCGCCATTCGAAGAAGATGTCGAAGAAAAACTTTCCGTCGATTCAGAAGTTAATAAAGAAGATAGTGTTGTATTATAATCCATACTTATTATATTGTTTTTATAAGGTTCTGAAGGTTAAAAAGCAAGCAGCGCACAGAGGAGTCGAAAACTCCCGGTGCCCCCCAAGAAAATTATCGCCGCCGATTACCATGGGTTTTCACCCGATTTATGGAATTACTGGGCGGCACGCTGGCTTGACGAGCAAATTGCACCCAAAACATTAGTTCCGTTCTTTGGAAATATACGGCCACAACGTGCTATCATAAAAGGCCTAGAAAGAGCACCTAAAATTGACCAAACTATAGCGGCCAATCGGCGATCAATTGTGTTGTAATGAGCATTAAAATACCTAAAACTGACGGTGAAAACCTGGAAATAACAGGTAATCAATGGCTAATCAATAATATTAATAATTTAAGCCCTTTAAGTACTAAAAACGTAAGATGGTTCTGGTTTACGTCAGTTTCTCGTCAATTACAGCCGGTTCTCGAGCAGATTACCTTTGACTCGCTAAAATGTATGACTCCCAACCAGGGTTGTTCGCCGATGGACCCGGATCGGATCTGGATCCGGATCCGGATCGGATCGGCAGTCGGATCCGGATCCAGATCCAGATCCGGATCCAGTCCGATCCGAAAATGACCAACCCTGCTCCCAACTATTTGCTAGCATTTTATTAAGCTGTTTCAACAATTTTTCATTTTTGTTAGAGGAAATACGGTATGATACAAACCTCGTTTGGGCTGTTGTCGCCTAAAGCGCGGCCCGGCCACAAACTACATGGATGACGCCCGGCGCCCTCTTTTCCGAAAATCTCCCGGGCCCACGGTTTTGAAAAGTTCTATCGTTTTTCGTGTTGTTTTTGTTTTTCGATTCTTTTTTTGGAAATCTCGCGTTTCTTCGTTTTCTAAACACGCTTTAGCTTGTGGTGTTGCCCAGAAACATCGATTGCGCCGAAATCTAACGTTTTTGCTTCTAAAAACTAGAATTTTTGTTTTGACATAGTTGCCTCCACCCTACTCCTTTCTGCTTTTGAAATAAGGTTCTTCTCACTGTTTAGAAATACATCCGGCGTCTCAATCTATCGCTTTTTGCACTTTTTGGCTTTGAAATATCTGCATCCTCCGACATCCTACTATATATAAAAAAATAGTGTCTGTGTGTGTGTGTGTGTGTATGCCACTTTGCATGCAACTTCCGTCAGCGTGTCCGGAGGATATCTCAAGAGGGGAAGGGGGTTAGGCTAAGTATGATACGTCATTAGGTGCGTAATGGCTCTGGGATGACTGCACGCATATCAAATGTTGCAAATTATGCTATTTTCGACATTAAAATTAAGTTTTTGTTGAAAAATCGGCCGCTCTCTTTGTTAGGAAAAATTAGCATACTCCGGAAGTGGCGGTAGCCTATATATAATGCGAGAGAGGGGCGTTTTTCATTTTTTTTTTCAATGCAGAGAATTCGAGAGACGTATGTAGAGTGAAGAATATTATGGGGTTGGACTGGGCCAGGGTTGAAAAGTCGCGAAGCGGCTTTTCAACCCTGGTCCTTACTAATTTTCAAAATGAGCGCTTCTCACCATCTCCACAAGTCTATTGGTCATTTAAATAGAGCTGAAATCTAGTTTCTAAACCTTAGCCGCTTCAATCTTGCCAATTGTTTGTCGAAGCTTTATCAATTGGACGCATCATTTGGTTTTCCTGTGTTTCGAGTCGTTCTCCTCCGCACTAAACTGATCCCCTTTTCCAGCCAAAATGAGCAAGACCCACCCGCCAGAGCTGAAGAAGTACATGGACAAGGAGCTCGAGCTCAAACTCAACGGCAACCGACGCGTTTCCGGTATGTTTTCTTGCACCTTTCCTATGATAATTTTTTCAGGCATTCTTCGTGGCTACGACCCCTTCATGAACATGGTCATCGATGAGGCCGTCGAGCACCAAAAGGTTCGATATATTTGATTTTTTACGTTTTTCAACGCTTGAATCATCCTTTATAGTGTTACGGTGCAAAAATGCTTTTCGAGTCAGTTTAGGCAAATTTAATTTTCCTTCTCGCGGCTTTTTTTACGTAATTTAACTTTTTTAAGGCGTAGCTTTATTTGATGAACCCTTTCCAGTAATAATATTTATTTCCCTGTTTCAGAACGGCGAGGATTCCCCGATTGGCCAGATCGTGATCCGTGGCTCGTCCGTCATCCTGATGGAGCCGAAAGAAAGACTTCAATGAATCGCGCGTGCCCCGCCGTGACGCGCCACCCCCGATTTTTTCGACGAGTATTTTTCATTTTGAACTTTTTTATCGGGTCACCTCCCCGGTGTGCCCGCTGTTGTTTTGCTATTGATCTCTCGATTTGCTATCAATAAATTCACTAATCGTCTTTTTGGGGGTCGAAAGTAAATGCAAGATATGGAAAGATTTTGCAATTTGCTAATTTAGGATTCCTAGTGGTTTTTAACGTATATTTTATGGAAAGATCTTCTGTCGTTTAGAATGCGTGATTTTTTGAGGGTTTCTTTTTCGCTAGCGTCCGCGCGTCTTGGTACTGGACATTTAGCAAGGGGAACTATGATAATATATAATGTATTTCTTAAAGTATTTTAGCAGTATTTGAGTGTTAGAAACTTTGAGATATTTAAAAAAAATTTTTTTATAGATTCCGCTTTTTTGGGTTCCACATGTTGCGGTTTAGAACTCGGAAAACTAGCTTTCGGATTAGCAAACCAAATCCCAGCTTTCTAATCGTTTAGAAAAGCTCTCCCGGCGTTGCCATTCGATCATCCTTTTGCAGGATATGGGTACTTGAAGGCTATCGCCCCCGTGAATTTATTCAACCATCTTCCCCTTTTTCTGCGCCTCTTTTCAAGGGATCAGAGCTTCTTTTCGATAGAACTGGTTCTCCTGTATTCCCGTTCTCTTGCTCCCCTCTTCTGACCATCGGCATCAGCCCCACCAACAAACACCCTCCCTCCCTCTGTCGTGCTCCTCTTTTTTCAGGCCGAAGAGTTTCAACCAGTTTCAATTCCGCCGCGCTCTACCAGTCAGTCGGTGCTGACCCCCGGGCTGAAATTTGGGGTGGTTTTTTGGGCCGGTAGTTTAGCAATAATTTTGGTCGTTGAGCAGGGTTTACAGATCTGCGGTCTTTTTTTTATAGTTTTTGCCCGGTTTAAAAGTACTCTTAGGCGACATCGGCATCTACATAACTTTTTTTACGTTTTCCAGTAGTTTTTTGACGTTTCAACACGATCTAAAAGTCTTTTTTTTTGATAAGGATCGAACTTCGGATTGGATTTTTGAGCCCAAAAGTTGCTTACTTTGTTTTGGAAATACGGTTTTTGAAGGTTTAGGCTTTCTAGCGGTTTAAAATCGTTTAGATTTTCAACCAAGTTCCTAGAATTTGGATTTTTTTAACCCGGAAACTGCGAACTTAGGTGGGCAGGCAGTAAAATAGGGGTTTTTAGTGTTCTAGCTGTCAAATCGTGGCGATCTCATGCCCATTTCCTGCCAAAAATTACGATTTCGCTGGCAAACCATCAAATCATCATTATGTATGCTATTTCGACCGACGATCTGCCAGCAGAGTAGGGGGCAGAATAAATCAACGAATCGCCCTGCATGCCCCCTTCGATGCGACAACTCGAAATCGTTGATGGTCAACAAAAAGCAGGTGGAGAACTGGATACCCAGCATGTTCCACATAGCCCACACCACCAACCACTGTCAAAGACGGAAGGAACGGCGGAAAAGGGCTGGAGAAACGCCCCAAAACCCCCTCGAAACGGAAGGAGGCGGCCGATGGCAAGCTTTGCCGGTTTTCATCGTGGAATTCTCGGGGGGAATTGAGTTTTAAAAGTGAGGTAGTTTACCTTTTAGAGCTATTTTAAAGCCATAGCTCGGAAATTTTAGATAGATTTTAGATGCAATTAGATCGCTCTTTTAGAAGTAACTGAGCGAAAATTGGCGTTTTTCAGGTAATTTCTAAATTTTGGCAATGTTTCGCAATTTTTGCCCAGAAGCCCCGCTGGTTTGCCAGGTTCTCGACTTTTACAGAGCTGATTTGACATGAAAATCTAATTTCCTAGAATTTCTAGCTGATGTATGTTATTTTGGTCATCATTTTGAGCACAGTTTCTCTCGAAATTTCATTTTAGGTAATTTTTCCGGTTTTCTAGATTTTCTGCAAGAATCGATGCTAGGTTGCACGGCTTTTCTTTAGCTACATATTATACGTGTTTTAGGCGGAGTTCAATCAGTAATTAGCGTCTTGGCCTTTTCCAAATTTTCCACGAAAATCCCGGCTAGTTAGCCCAATTCTCGACTTTTCTAAGTTGTGCATTGACTCTTCAGGCTTCTCCTCTTTTCGCCGCCCATCTGAAGGACATACTTTTTGCGAGTATTCAGCCCCTTTCTTTCTTTTCTTTTGTAAAGACTTGACACATCAACAAGTTCCATCCTCTATTCCCTCCATTTACACCTGTCTTTTCACGCCCTTTTATGCACACCCTCCTCCTTCCGTTTAACAAGTTCCAGTTTCGACTCTTTTTCTCGCCCCCACTCCCCTCCCGTCCCTCATTTTTGACATGACAACACGATGAGGGGAGGATGAAGATCAATCTCCCAATCTCTCTATTGTTTTATTTTGAGTTTTCTGAGGCTTCAGATGGCAGATATGTCTCTGCCAATTGGCACACATTGGGTTGCAGAGCGATCGTTGAGCTCCTATTTTGACGGTAGCATGCAGATATGGGCTATCGTTTTGTAGTTGGTACTTCAAATAGTCAAACTGGCATCCGGGGAACAGGTTTCTAAAGGATCTTTGCTAGCTTGCCCCTATTTTGCTCGTTTTATGGGTAACATCCGCTCGAACTTTTCGTTTCTTTTTTTTTGGAGAAACTCCGAGTCTGCTGTAGCTAATTTAAGGTTTAGCTAGTCAAGCCGGCATCCGGGAAACAACTTACACTTCAAGAACCTCTGCTAGCTTGCCAAGTTTCCAGCTAAAGCTCTTCTTTGGATGCCAGATCACCACTTCAACTCTAGTTTACGCATTTTTACCCCGAATTTGGATTTACTGTAGGGATTTTGTGATTTAGACAGTCAATCTGGCATCCAGGAACAAATTTTTTACCAAGAATCTCTGCTAGCTGGCCCTTTTTGGACAAAAAAAAAAGCGGTGCTTTAGCTGTTGTGTTGCCGACCTCGACCTCGACCTGCCATTTCCCGTGCTTCCCGCGGCTTGTCCTTTGTTTTGGCGTTTTTTCCCTAGTTTTTCTCTCGTTCCACTCCCCCCAGGGGGTCATTTGTCATTTTTACCTTCGCTAAAATGGTTTCTGTCATGCATTATTTCTTTTACGAACGTTTTTACTGTATTTTTATGGCATTTTAGAGGAGCTTTTCAGATAGCATCAAATGCGGATATCTCTTCCTTCTATCATCTTCTAATGTTTTATCCAAAATGCCTATTCTTCCTCTATGCATTAATAGCTATTTCCTATTGTCAACACGCCGGTTTCACCCCGGATTTCCATGGATATTTGCTGGACACTGTCGGCCAGGCTACCCTCAATTTATTGGAGCGAAAAGAACACAGCTGGGGCAGTTTTGGAGGCAAATTGCATCCGGATCAGGAGATTCGGAAACAGGTGGGGGCTTGAAATTTTTATAGTTTGTAGCCTTGGGTGGCAGTTTGTAAAATTAATCGTGTTTCGATTTAATTTACAGTTAATTTTCCGGCGAAAATTCCGATTTGACACCAATTTGGCTGTCTGGCTATCGATAAATTATTTTTATAGATTTTGAGATTTGTGGTGTTTGTCATATAATTTGTATTTCTGTCTGTCTGTCATTTTATTTATCGATCTGAAAATCCGCCGACAAAATTATAGATTTTCCGAATTTGAGCAATTTTTATCGCTTTTACAGCACTTCCTGATGCTCCATGGTGTTAAAAATAGTTTTTTAGGCCAGAAAAATAATTTTCTGGTTTTTTGGTGTTGGATTCGTCTGTCGGCCTGCCAGTTAGTTTATCTGTTGTTCAATCTGCCTAAACAAACTTTTAATTGATGAGTTTTTAAAATTTCGATTTTAGCCGGTCCTAATGGTGCACGGCGTCGCCACAACAGCCGGTCGATTTTTAATGCTCCGGAAATATCTCTACAATAAGGGATACACCGATGCCGAGGTTTTAAATAGAAATCTAGAGCGTATAAAAATGGATTTCTAAAAATTACACAAATTTTTAGCTGTACGCGACAACGTGGGGAAACGGGCCTCAAGGAGGGTTAGTTCTGGTAAAAATGGAATGCCGTTTTGTTAGACAGGTAACGAATTTTTGATAAAAAATACGCTTTTTCTACTGTAGATTCGTATAATGATCGATGCAATCCATGAATATACGGGATCGAGGAAGATTGATATTGTGGCCTTTTCGATGGGTGCTCCAATTACGAGAAAGGCCATACTTGGAGGGGATTGTAATGGGATATATCTCGGCAAACCGTTGACGCATTTGGTAGGTTTTTAAAGCAATTTTAAAATTTTTTTAAGGCCGTTAAAATCTAAACTGTTTGCCAGGATACCTAAAAATCATATCTAGCTTGTAGTTTGTAGTCTCAATATTTTTGTTAGCCAAAATGGATGCCAATATACCTAAAAATACATTTGAAGTTTGTAGCTTTCGTTTTTAACTTTTCTTTAAGGTCTTGTTGTTATTAATAGCCAAACTGCCTGCCAGTAAACTGTAAAATTTTTATCTGGCGTTTGTGGCTCTACGGAATTTCGTTGATTTCGTGAAAATGGTTTTTTGAAAATTTTTAAAGTCTGAATGTTCCGAATTAGTATGGATAAAGCCTAAAATAACAGCTATATTTTGTTTGCAGGTAGATACTTTCGTCTCGGTGGCCGGCGCGAACTATGGCTCTGCTATTTGTGAAATGCTGCCACTGGCCATTTGCAATCTAAATAACGGGTTGTCATGTCGAAGTCACAGATTGGTAAGTAAGTAAAAAAATAACAACAATTTTCTGTGCGATAAGTTTGATTAAATTGGATTAAAAATGTATTTTTACGTCGAAGTTTATTTTCAAAAACTCTCCATAGGTTCAGATTATCGAATTTCGGAAAATATACAAAATGAACTTTGAAAGCCAAAAAAAAATCTATTTTCAGAGTGAATTAAACTCACGTAAACATCGCTACGAGGGAAAACACAGCTTTTCCATTACGACGACTAATGACGAAAAGGTGGGCCGATTTTTTGGTTTTCCAAGACTCGAACAGAATTGAAAAATCCAGAATTTTCTCACGTTTAAAGTGAATAGAATTTTATTGTTTAGTTACATTAATCCTTACCAAAAAAGCTAATAACTTTTCAGGTTGGCGGCTGGTGTTGCGGCCATAAATGTGCTTCTCTGCCCAATAATGAGGCCGAATTTGTCTATCACGGGCCGGGTCATGATGAGGTTCTCTACAGGTAAACTGAAATAAAAACAGATTTTAAATAATTTTTAACGGGAAATTAGCTTTTATGGATGCCAGTTTAGCAAATAAATCACAATTTTTGTCGTGAATTCAATTTTAAATTGCCTTCATGAAATTTAACCTGGAAAATGGCTTATATGCCAGCCAGTTCGGCCGTGAAAAATGAATTTTTAATAAATTTTTGTAGTAAAAATAGCTTTCTGGCGTCTATCTTAGCCGTGAAGATGGTTGATTTTATAGTAGATCGAGTCCTAATATTTTTTCACACAGATCTACTGGGTGTCCCAAAAAAAAAGCACCCCCCTCTAGCGGTCCGGGGGAAGCTCAGATCGGGATAATTTTTATAACATTCGAAAGCTCGCGGAAAGGCGAGAAAACAAGCGGGATTTATTTTATGAGATTTATTTTTATACGCTGGATATTCAACGTTTTTCTAAAAAACAGGTAGATTTTCAAAGGGAATTTCGCGATTAGCATGCAGATCTCGCGTAAATCTGCCGTTTTCATGTCTGCCATTTTCATGTCACGTAAAATTTGCTAATAAAAATAGATAATAAAGAAAATAAACCCTCCTTATTTTCTCGCCTTTTCAAGAGCTTTCGATAGATACCTAAACGATAAAAATCGGACACGACTGCGCGCCGCTAGAGGGGGGTGCTTTTTTTTTGGGACACCCCGTATATACAGGGTGTATCAAAAAAAAGTTCCGAAGTTTGTCCCCAATTATCTCGAGAAGGAAAGATATTTCACCGTGCGTTACCATGCCAGAATGCTTAAATATGCTGGGTATGAAGATTTAACACAACTTGATTTTTTCGATTTTCGAGTACGCAACTGTACTATTGACGCTGGTTACGACCGAAAATTGTGCGTTCTTGAACGGGTGGTGGGAAAATTCTGATTTTTGGCCCAAAAATACTTGATATTTGTAGAAAAATAATAGCAAAGTCTTAGAATTTTTGAAGGTTTACTTCTTTTTTTACAGGCAAAACAAATTTCCCTATTTTGCTTATTTTTACTTTTTAATTCGCAACTCGCTTCAAATTCTCTGCCCATGGCTGATCTTTTGCAAATGGTGTCTCCGAATGATAATCTTTAGCACAATACCAAATTTTACCTGATTCTATGGTATTTTAATATTGCTTGCTAAAACGTGCCCCAGTGGAAACTGTAGCTTTCGTTTTTCGCGTTTTTCTTTTTATTGTAAGCTGCGATTTCCCTCAAAATTTTATCATTGGTAAACACCAGTAAGGGTCACCTATGGGCTAAATATCGCAAAGTTCTAGCCATATACCTTCCCAAAATATGCAAAAAACTTATTTTTGCATTTAGCCACGGAAATTTCTAAATATTTTGATGCATCGGACTAAAAACTACGGTTATTTGTTTTCCCGAAAGATCGAAACGTTTCTATGGTGAAAAGAACGAGAAAACGGCGATTTTCTGTTTTCTACAGTAACCCGCCTAGAGCGCGTTTTAGCATGCCAAGACAAAATGCCATAAAATGCCAATTTTTCTATTCTAGACTGTTCACTGGGCGATTGTAAGAGCATCTACAAAAAATTACTTGATTCCTGTGGCAAATGACAAAGTTATGAAGGAAAGAGGAAAACCCACCCTGGGGCCCCATTTTGGACCGGATGCCCCGAGCCGAAAATCGAATTTTTGAAAATGAAAAAGGCACCGGATTTTCGTGGATACAATTAAAGCATGCATCGAATTGTGTATGAGAGCAACACTCTCGAATGATCTGGCTGAAGTTAATGGTTCATTTTGATTTAAAACCTGAAAATAACGTTTTTGAAAAGCCGACTTTGGGATGCTCTTCTAAATTCGTTTGCCGTGAAAAGGTTTTGTATTTGCATGGGTTCTAGTTGATTACCCAAGCTTGATCTATGCCAGAAAAGTCGGGGCTACTAAACCCTCGAGAACTTTTTTACGTCGCCTCGAATTCGGGTATATTTGGAGTTTTCATGAATTTATTTTGAAAGATCGGATGGCCCAAATAAAATAGTAAATATAGTTTTAGAATGCGCCCATTAAATAGTATTAAATAAAATTATGACAATAATTCTAGCCGCGCAATTGAATTTTATAGACTGGCACGAAGGTCTGCGAAATAGCACGAACCAACTGTTTTGGAGGCGCTAAAACGCAACCTTCCAAAGGGGTACGGTAGCTAGTAATTGTTTTGATTATAGATGTTCCCCAGTCCTACACAACTAAGCAAAGCAAACACCGAAATTCTATCGGCAGTTTTAGAAATATTTTTCCAAAGTTCAGTTTCGTCACCCCAAAAAAATCCATGACCAGGGGTCGTTGAAAAACTTGAAAATTTATTAATCTCAAAAAATTCTTTGAAGTGTTTGTGCGATTGTACAGAGCTTGTAGGTATTCCAGAACAATCTATTTTCGGGTTTCCGCCATAGGTTTTTGTAATATTCGATATTTACGAAATTTCTCCATACTAAATTTGAGCACGCTATAACTTGTGAACCAGACCTTCGAAAATTCCAAAATTTCGGATGTGCGTAGGGGCAGTTCTTATGTATCCACACTGTAAAAACTGAAACAGCTCGACCACCAGCAATTCACAAAAATGCAAACGAAGTTTTGCCGGAACGCACAGTTTTCGGGTGTCATTTGTATTGATACGTCGTCAAAAATCGAAAAAATCAAGTTGTGTTAAATCTTCATACCCAGCATATTTAAGCATTCTGGCATGGTAACGCACGGTGAAATATCTTTCCTTCTCGAGATAATTGGGGACAAACTTCGGAACTTTTTTTTGATACACCCTGTACAGCTAAAAATCGCTTCAAAGCCATCAAAACATCAAAGATTTCAAAAAAGCTAATTTTCAGATCGATAAAGCTACAGTACGAACTGATTACGAAACATCGTGGAAAACTGTCGGACCTGCAAGTCTCGGAAATCCCGATCCCACCAGCCAGGGTATTGAGGCTAAAAAGGAGAAAGAAGGCAGAAATACACACTAATGAAACGACAGTCGGGGAAGTAGTACAAACTACAACTATAACTACAACAATCAAGCCAAAGCTCAGGAGGAGAAAGAAAGGAAGAAAGGGAGCACATCACCAGAAGAAGCCGAGGCAGAAAAAGGTTGAAAAAATGGAAAAGCTTGAAAACGAAGCTATCGAAGGGAGTGGACAGCTCGAACTTGCCCAACCGGAACTACCCGGAACTTTTGAAGCCCAAAAAGTGGACGTAGCTGTGAGACCGGCAGCTGCCAAGCTTGACAACAGCCATGCTGACTTGCAAACCAGCAATTTATCAAGTTTCGGCCTCAATCTGAACAAATCTGAAGGATTGCGCCCTACAGATTTTGATGGCGTAATCGAATCGATTAGTGAGATGGAGGAGAGGACTTTGAGCCCGGAAACCACGAAAATGGCTGAAATGGATGGCAATTCGACCACAGAGCCGGTTATCGGGCACAATAACCAACAAAATAGAACATTAAATGGAATAATCGAATCGGCTACTGTAGCGGCGATAGCTACCGCAACCTCCAATAATGAGGAATTTAAGAATACCATGATGGTTTTGACTACGAATATCGCTAAACTGGCTGTCAGTACGACCCAATCTGAAATTACAACTTCCACAACTACAGTAACCCCGCAAAAATCCGAGCCTACTGTAGAATTACCATCCTGGCTGGTGGGACTGATGGAAAAAGAGGCAAGAGCCACGTTGGGCAATTTTCAAGCTGATGATCATCGAGCGGAAAGTGCGGAGAATTTGAAGTGGACCGATTACTAGGCATTGACTAATTTTTGTGCTAATTTACTGATTTCAAAATATTTAATTCCTGCTAGTTTAACCCAGAATCCATTTTTCTCAAAATTTTCTAGTGATTTATTAATTTTTTAGCTATGTAACGCTTACTATATTTTAACTGTTTGTCAATTTAGCAAATTGTCATGGTTTTCTATACATATCGTCTTCCCATATTTTTTGAAAGTTTGCTCCTTGCTGGCTGACCATTTCTGAGACGGGTACGGATTTTATGGCTCATAAAATGTGAATAAATCGTACAGGGTGCGTCAAAAAAAAAAAGCCAAGTTTGCACCAAAATATCTCGCTTATCTTTGAGAATCGAAGGTACGTTACCATGCCAGAATGCTTAAATATGCTGGGTATGAAGATTTAACACAACTTGATTTTTTCGATTTTCGAGTACGCAACTGTACTATTGACGCTGGTTACGACCGAAAATTGTGCGTTCTTGAACGGGTGGTGGGGAAATTCTGATTTTTGGCCTATAAATAGTTGACATTTGTAGAAAAATAATAGCAAAGTCTTAGAATTTTGAAGGTTTAGTTCTTTTTTTTACAGGCAAAACAAATTTCCCTATTTTGCTTATTTTTACTTTTTAATTCGCAACTCGCTTCAAATTGGCTGCCCATGGCTGATCTTTTGCAAATAGTATCTCCGAATGATAACCTTTAGCACGACACCAACTTTTACCTGATTCTATGGTATTTTAATATTGCTTGCTAAAACGTGCCCCAGAGGGATACTGTAGTTTTTGTTTTTCGCGTTTTTCTTTTTATTGTAAGCTGCGATTTCGCTTAAAATTTTATCATTGGTAAACATCAGTAAGGGTCATCTATTGGCTAAATTTCGCAAAGTTCTAGCCATATACCTTCCCAAAATATGCAAAAAACTTATTTTTGAATTTAGCCACGGAAATTTCTAAATATTTTGATGCATCGGACTAAAAACTACTATTATTTGTTTTCCTGAAAGATCGAAACGTTTCTATGGTGAAAAGAACGAGAAAACCGCGATTTTCTGTTTTCTACAGTAACCCGCCTGGAGCGCGTTTTAGCATGCCAAGACAAAATGCCATAAAATGCCAATTTTTCTATTCTATAGTGTTCTCTGGGTGATTGTAAGAGCACCTACAAAAAATTACTTGATTCCTGTGGCAAATAACAGTTATCAGGGAAAGAGGAAAACCCACCCTGGGGCCCGATTTTGGACCCGACGCCCTGGCTCGAAAATCGAATTTTTGAAAATGAAAAAGGCACCGGGGTTTGGTGGATACAATTAAATTACGCATCGAAAAGTGTATGAAAGCAGAATTCTGGAATGATCTGGCTGAAGTTAATGGTTGATTTTGATTTAAAACTCGAAAATAACGTTTTTTGAAAAGCCGACTTTGGGGAGCTCTTCTAAATTCGTTTGCCAAGAACAGATTTTGTATTTGCATGGGTTCTAGTTGACTACCCAAGCTGAGTTTATGCCAAAAAAGTTGAGGCTACTCAAGCCTCGAGAAATTTTTTCCGGCGCCTCGAGTTCGGGTATATTTGGACTTTTCATGAATTTTTTTTGAAAGATCGGATGGCCCAATAAATTTGTAGATATAATTTTAGAATGCGCCTATTAAGTAGTATTAAATAAAATTACGACAATATTTCTAACCGCGCAAATGAATTTTATAGACTGGCACTAAGGTCTGCGAAATAGCAAGAACCAACCGTTTTGGAGGCGCTAAAAGACAACCTTCCGAAGGGGTACGGTAGCTAGAAATTGTTTACATGATAGATGGACCCCAGTCCTACACAACTAAGCAAAGCAAACACCGGAATTCTATCTGCAATTTTAGAAATATTTTTCCAAAGTTCAGTTTCGTGACCTCGAAAAAATCCATGACCAGGGGGTCGTCGAAAAACTCAAAATCCGCGGATCTGAAATTTTTTTTTGATATTTTTGCGGGATTGTATCGAGCCTATAGACATGCCAAAAGAGCTTATTTTGAGGTTTCCGCCATAGGTTTTTGTAATATTCGAAATTTACGAAATTTCTCCATATTAAACTTGAGCATGCTATAACTTGCCAACCAGACCTTCAAAAATTCTAAAATTCGGGATGTGCGTAGGGGCAGTCCTTAGGTACCTACACTGTAAAAATTGGAAGTGTTCGACCACCAACAATCCTAAAAAATGCAAACGAAGTTTGGCCGGAACGCACAGTTTTCGGGTGTCATTTGTATGGGTACGTCGCCAAAAATCGAAAAAATCAAGTTGTGTTAAATCTTCATACCCAGCATATTTAAGCATTCTGGCATGGTAACGTACCTTCGATTCTCAAAGATAAGCGAGATATTTTGGTGCAAACTTGGCTTTTTTTTTTTGACGCACCCTGTAGTTATTTGAGGCAAAAGATATAAAAATTTTTACACCTATACAAATTCAGAAAAAAGCGCCAAAAACTCGACAAATACAAATCGGAAAATGACTCACCAAACGCCAAAAAATAGGCGATAAAACCGGTACAATTCAACTGGGCGATTCGAGGGTCCAAAAGATGGAATTACCCATTTTTCTTCTCCTTTTCCTCTCGATTCTATTGCCATTTTGACCAGCGAAAAACTACAAAAACACAAAAGAGAAAATGCAAATCTTTGAAAGGTTCGAAATGGGAATTTCCGAATTTCCGAAATCCATTTTCTCTCGCTTCTTTCCCCATTTTCTGTTTGTCCAATCGGCAACTTGAGCAGCGGAACGGCTGCAAATTTTTGGACTCTTGGGACTGAATTTAATTCCTTTTTGTATGCTTTGAATAAATAAATTATACTTATTTTAATTTACACAATTGGCTAAATCAAGAAAATTCTACAAAATTTAATTTAGCAAACATATTCCGTTTTTGCTGATTCGTTTTTGCTGATTCGTTTGGGCAATTTTGCTTTTCCCAGAAAGTTTCTGCTAGCCTGCCCGGGTCTAATTTTCAAAAATATACTAGCTTTGGAGTCCGAAAATATATAGAATTCGCCTTTTTCCGCAAAAAAACTTTGCTAGCTTACCAGGACCCGGATTCTTGACAAAATGGTGAAAGTTCAATTCCATTAAAAACTAAATCAATGGATTTAGCTTTTCCGATGACCAATAACTTTTTTTAAACGCTGCTCCTCCTCGACCTCTACCGCTCAAAATGGCTGCAAAAGGCAAAAAAGCATTTTACGATATTTGCCTATTGACCGAGGTGGGGAGGGCAGAGAGAGAGAGGGGATCAGCCAGCCACGTGCCTTTTTCCTGAATTTTCACTTCGGAATTATTGACATCTGTGGGTAGTCTATTGTCTATTGTTTCAGTAATGACCGATATTGAGTTTGAGCCTCGGCTCAATCTTTTTGAATATTATTTCGCGGCTGAACTTGGAGGGGAAGAAGCGGATGGGAGGTCAGTTAAGAGAGAGAGAGAGAGAGAGAGAGAGAGAGAGAGGGAGAGAAAGAGAGAGAGGGAGAGAGAAAACGAGCTAAAGTTTGTTTTTTAGCTCGGATTCCCTAAATTCGATCTTCTACCAACTAGCCACCGAATGTCTAGCCGTTGGAGGACTTTGGAGTGAAACAAAATCCTATGACTGTAAGTTCTTATTCTGCATAAGCAGATTATCCATTTTTTACAGACGATCCACCCGAAAATGACCACGTCAAAACCTTTGATCATGGCGAATAAAATGATAAAGCTTTATCGTATTTACATGGTGTGTTTGGTCAGTCACGGGCTCAGAATTTGTCCCGCATCGAGTCCTCGTGGGCGCGGCCATTTTTGTTGCCTGAAAAATACAGGCTACAATTAGGGACTTTAGCCTATAGGCCACAAACTACATCTAGATCATCCGCACATTAGGCTACAAACTAAAATTTACTGGGTTTTTAGAATTTCGATTCTAATCACAATTTGAATTTGGCTACAGACTACAAACTATAAACGGCGGCTATGGGCTAAAGACTACAGAATACAATAAAAGCTAGTCAAATTTAAGCGTGGGCTTGCTGACTACAAACTTTAGCTCTGGTGGTATTGAATAGCGCGAGAAATTACCAACTACGGACTACAGGTTACAGACTACAAACCCCAAACTACAAACCTTTCTCCTGTATCCGGGCTAACCGTTCTTTTCGCACGTCTTCCGTCATAAAAAGCATTTCGACCTAGAAAAATAGAGAAAATTAGCTGATTTACCCTGGCAAGCTAGCAGAGATTTTTCGAAATTTTCGCTCAATAAAATACCTCATCCAAACTCTTCCCCTTTGTCTCTGGCACGAAGAAAAACACGAAAACGAGGGCGATTACGGTCAGGGCAGCATAGAGGAAGAAAGTACCTAAATCAGTAGACTTTTTCAATTATTAAGTTCCGAAAATTAGGATTGATCTTTCAAGCTACAGTGACTTTTATCGTACGGTACTTACCGTATTTTGTTAACGCCTGAGACAACGACAAAAACGTGAGCGAAATAATTAAGTTGAAAATCCAGTTCGAAGCCGTGGAAATCGATACGCAAGTTGATCTCGCCCACAACGGATAGAATTCCGAGTTCAGCACCCACGGCATCGGGGCGTAGCCTAAAATTTTTGCGTTTTTATACTATCTGGAATCCAGTACAAACTAACCTATTATACCAATTTTATACTAACCTAATGGTGACAGTATTTTTTGTTTTATCGTGGAAATTGTATACGTTTTTGCACTAACTGATAGTTACAGTGCACCGAATAAAAAAATAACTATAAAATTTACTGCGATATTTCTCGACTTACCAATCGAAAATGACCCCAAGTACAGCACCATAATCACAATCGGCATCCAGGTGAATTTCGATTTACAGTACGTGTCTTGCCACTCGAATTTCTCGTTTGTGCCCTGAAATGGAGCGCTGTAAATTTGAAAATTTCCGCAAAAATCTCTGCTAGCATGCTCTTGTTTAAATATGCGATTTTTAAATAAATAGCGTATCCGATTACGGCATATATTGATTTATTGTGCTACCAAGCTGTCTTTAGAGTGGTAAAATTCCCAAAAGTTTGCCCAGATTCTTCAGAATAGATAGCGTAATCGATTATGCAATCTAATTGCTATTTTTTTGGCGTTTTCCAGCTGTTTTTATGTAAAAGAAAGCACTTTCAGATAACTAACTCGTAAGACGGGAAAGGATAAACGCTTACGCCAGGAAAACCGACTTACATTGGCGGTAAAATCTCCATTCAAACATGCGCCAGTCGCTGAATGCTTGTCCGAATTTTTGTCCGGAAACGGTAGGCACCAGCCCTGAAAATCGATAATTTTCCACTGTCGTGATATGCATTAAAATTAATTTTTAAGTTCTTTAAAGTTTTTACCGTTTTTGTGTCATGATCTTCGCAGAATCCACAGCTATCAGCCGTTACGCAGAAATCGCAATTACTAAAAACATTCTAACAGGGTTAAATTGGCTTTTGTACCTGAATTTCCTACAGAAGTCGGCATTTTTGACGGTTGGATCATACATATTATCCATGTTGTATTGTTCGGCTTTGAAGTTCGGAGAGGAATCCTACAAAAATTAATTTAGATTTTTCTATTAATTTTAATTTTCGCTAAAAATTAAATGTTACGAATGATTTAAAATTGATCCTGCAGTAAAAACATGAATTTTTTTACAGTTACAGCGCTTAAAGGTGCGATTTAAATCTATTTTTGAAAAACGAATTTTTGGTTTTTTTTTGCGCTTCGTTATCCTACGGTAATCGATTAAAAAAGACAAATCTTTAAATTTCAATTTTATTTGTTTGAATCTAGCTTAGAAATTCGATCTTTTTTCCAATTTTTAAAAATTCGTTTTTTTTTTTTGATTTTTAGACCCGATTTTTCTACCGTGATCTATGAAAAACAAGCCTTATTGATGGCAATAAATGCACCAGCCATCATACATAGACATGCAATAACCCCACAAACTGAGATCAAAAATAGAACTCTTCGCCCCAATCGATCGATTAACGCCATTGGAATGAAGGTGCAGAAGAAGTTGATACCTGAAGGGAAACGATAATTGAGTCCATATTATATCATAGCTTTATAAAAATGATTTTTTTTTTAATTACCAGATGGTTACTACTATACTTTTACCGGATGCTTCGCGACTGCAACCATCTGGTCATCGGGCTACCCTGCATGTCTCACTCCACCACTTCCTTTCCCACCTCCATCAATACCCCCCCATGGCTTCAGATACCCCCCATGGCTGAAATCCCCTTCAAAAACTACTTAAATACCTTCCCGATGGATTTAGAGGATTTAAATAATTAATTAACATAATTAAAAAGTATTAAAAGTATTAAAGTAACTTAAAAAAGCTATTTGGACGCGGGAGGGGCCTGGGGAAGAGGGGCGAAGGGAAAGGGGGCGTGGCCTCCCGGGAGAGGGGCCCCCACTGGTTTTATTAAGGCGCCACTTTCAAAGTTAATTTTAATAATTTAAACTAAAACTTTTTCGTAATTTTTTTATCAGTTTGGGGTTTTTTGACCACGCTCTATCCGAATCCGAAGAGAGCTAAGCTCTGGCTTCTTTCCCCTTCGAGTTGAATTCGGGACCGAACAGACGGACGGACGGACAGACACTACAACCTTTTTATTATAGTTGATAAATTAATTTAACAAATTTTAATATGCAGAAAAATAAAAAAATATGCGTAAAATAGGAACTTACTCGAAACAGCAGCCGAGATCCAGATCGTCATATGGTTATCTTTTACACCAGCTGATCGAATAATCGTTCCACAGTAATACCTGGAAAATAAAGGGTGCAAACTGAATGCTAATCCATAAAATTAACTTTAAAAAATCGTAAATTGAAGATAAAATCGATAGATTCATTTTAGGTTCGAAAATCAATAAACTGGCACGTAAATAAAAATTCGAGATTGCCAAAATTTGAATTTTGGCCCTCGCTTTCGATTCTTTACGTTAAAGATCGGTAAACTGGATGGCAATTAGTAATTTGAAACTCTTTAAATTGTGTTTTGGCCCTCTTTGCGATTCTTTTTGTTAAAAATAGCTATTAGAATTTCAAAATTGAATTTTAAATGTAAAATCGACCGTGTAGCATCCAGATAACCTAGAAACCACTCACATTAATGTGTTGATGCCGGACAATTGCTGGAACATTTGAAGAAGGCATCCAATTATCAGAGCCTTTCGGACATGGGGCGTTCCCAAAATACGGAAGAATACCGGGCCGCCGCCTAAAAAATTAGCTTGCTAAAGGTTGTTTGTGCAAACTGTCACAATCCCTTCAAAATATACGCACCAGCGACTTCCTCTTTAGCTTCTCTCTCCATTCTCGTGGTATCTTCGATTTCTGCCAGTTCATACTCAATCCATTCGGTATCTCCCGCATAGATACGAGACAAAACCTAATGACACAGAAATAGGTGTCGTATCGTAGCGACATATCTTTTTCGCTCTCTGGCTATCTCTCTCTCTCTTTCTCTCTCACTCCCTCTCTTCTCTCTTTATCTCCCTCTCTCACTCTCTCTCCTCTCCTCTCTCTAATACCTCTCTCGCCTCTTCCTTCTTTTCATGTTCATACAACCATCGAGGGCTCTCCGGAAGAAAGATGAAGCAGATGAATTGGATCACAGAAGGGACGGCCGCGAATCCGAACATTAGCCTGAAAAATGGATTCATCTGATTTCCTAAAGGAATTTTGCCAGCTTGCCCGCTATAATGCTTTCATGATTGACCCTGCCTACAAGTTAGTCCAAGAAATAGATCCCTATGAAACTTGGCAAATTCCTAAAGAATCTCTGCTGATTTACCTAGTTTCTACGCGGTTAGCCGAGATCCCTAATGATCTCTGCTAAATGCCCCAGTTTCCAAAAATTAGCAACCCAAATTCACAAATTCAAAAATTATGTGCTAGCGATCCCATCTCGGTTTTAAATTTTTCACTTGAGCTATGTAATTTTGATGTAAATCTAGCCAGAAACTAGGAAACTCCCAAAAAATCACTGCTAGTTTTCCTAGGTTTTGAGGAATCGTTTGTACCAAAATCCCCAATTATCTATGCTAGCTTGCCCTTGGTTGAGCTGCAATTTTGAGCTTCAAATTCCACAATATTATCTGCAATCATCACTAGGTGTCGCATTTCTGTGCCATTTTCTGATTTTACTCCTTTTGTTAGCCAGTAATTTTGGGGACCAATGTTCATTCCAATCCCATTCCATTCTATTCTTTCTCATGTCTGTCACACCCTCTTATCACCCCTTCAAAAGCCAAAGAAAAGTCCAAACGGCTTTTCGTTTCGATGGCCAAACAGACCATTGACTGCGCTTTAAACTAATTGGTGAATTGGTCAAAAGTAGAATTTTAAGCCGGAAATCCGGAAAAATGGAGGGTTATACTAAACTTTTTTGGCACTTGATTAATTTAACTGGCAAGCAATTAGTTGAATAACCCTTTTAAAGGGGCAATGACAGAAACAAAACTTTACATTTTTGGCGGATTGGATGATTTTTGAGGTTTAGAAAGTAAGTAATTTTTCAAAATCGATGCTAAGGCTATTCTAAGCGGTTAAATAACTTTACCGGATGACAATTAGCCAAAATATTATTTTAAAGTGATAGTGACAACAAGAAATTTCGACATTTTCAGAAATGTGCCGAATTTACAGCAGCAAAAGCGTGATTTTTGGGTTTTTTTTTGAATTTCTGGGTGTCAAACCCGTTTAAAACCAAATTACTCTTAAACTGACCTCCATCCGACGTTCTTCGGATCAATATACGAGAATCCACCAGCAACCAGATTAGCAGCAAACAGCCCAAAAGTGACCATCAGCTGGAATCCAGTGACCATTGTTCCTCGAATATGGGCTGGAGATGCTTCACTCACATACACTGGCACGATCATTGACGCGAAACCTGGAAGGCAAAAGGAAATAAAGAATCAAAAAATTTTAAAGTTTATTTGCTAGCATGCCCTTCCGAGCCTAGACTTTTTCCGGGATTACCGCAAAAAGCTCAAAAATTTCGGTTTTGCCGATTGGTTAAGATTTTTTTGCGTAAAACCTACCGATAGCCAATCCGAGCAACACCCTTCCAATCAATAAAATAATCTTATTGAATGCAGCTCCACAAATCAATGCTCCAACAGTGAATACAATAGAAGCAAACACAATCATCTTCTTTCTGCCCAATAAATCGGAGCCTGTGCCGGAGAGCAGACTTCCGATCGCCGCAACACCTTAAATTAGGAATTTTTTATTGTTTTCCAGGTTCGTGAAGTCCAATCAATTTCCAAAGTCAGAATCTGTTCAATTTTGTTAACTGGCCGTCAGAATAATCAAAACAACATCGAAAAACTGTTGCGGTAAATTTAGCAAATTTTTGATCAACTTTTAAAAATTTTCGTGTTTTGTAGTTTTCGGTCGTCAAAATCAACATGGTTTAGTTTTTAAAGCGCACGTTCAGGGAGGGGCTGTGTACTCGTCCCAACGTGTACACCCTATGGACGTTGGGACCGCGCGCACTGCCTGCCCGTGGCGTGGCAGGCAATTTCTCTCCTTTGCGGCGTGGGGCGCCCCTAGGCCCCTCGCCAGGTTGCACCTGTGGCTGACTGGTATGCGACCGCGTCTCCCGATCGGGAGGCCCGGGTTCGACCCCCGGCCGCGGCGAAATTCTTTGCTTTCTTGCTCAAAAACGTCCCTTAACGTGCCCTTTAAAGGTTCAGTGAAGTCAGAATCTATTCAATTTGATTTGCTGCCAGTCAGAATAAGCAAAAATAGAATAGAAACTTCATTAGAGGCAACCGCAATTATATAAAAATTTTTGATGTGTTTTAGGATGTTTTTCGACAGAACGGCAGTCAATATAACTTTTTCAGGTTTTCAACCACTAATATGACCTCTGATTTACCTGGCGTAAGCGATACGATAACTTCTTGCCATAACGAATTCATCGGTTCCATTCCACTATTATCTGGCACGTACAACATAGCGGAGGAGACAATACCCGTATCGTAGCCAAAAAGGAAACCACCTAAATGCGGAGATTTTGGTTTTTAAATTAATGAACAAAGAAATTTTGCGTTAAAATCCAGTTCAGTCTTACCGATTACGGCAGCAAAAGCGAGCATATACACGAAAAATGATACTTTAGGTGAGTGGGCTGGCCGTGGGGCCGAGGTGGCCCCCGTCGAAACCCTGAAAACTAAGGTTTTTAGGAAATTTTCCAAGGTTTTACACGTATTTTGGAATATAGTGTACTTACCACATTTACTTGCACCATTCCTGGCCGGCTGAAAGCTCAATTTTTGATAACGTATCCGCCAAGTTTTGCTCGAATTTTGGGAGGTTTTTGAGCTGAAAGAGAAATCATAGCTTTTTTTTTGGTAAAATGCAAAATGTTTTTTATAAAATAAAAAAGAGCACACGTGGATGCCTGCGTATTGACACAACCTAACAATACATTTAAAACAATAATTATTAAAAATTGATTAAAACCATTTTGTGAAACCTATTTTAGCATCTTGCAAACAATCTTTAGACAATTCTATAGAAGCAAATTTTAGGAAAGTAGGGTTTTTGTAATGTTGCAATTTTCTTTTTAAGAAATTTGTAATTTGTAAGCATACAGCGTAACAATTTGTATTGTGCATAAATTTGCAAGTTACGAATCCTTTGCCCATTGGCATCTTGCCAAGTGCAGAAATCGAATTTGCAGATTTCTGAATCTCAAAAAGACATTACAGAAGTGCAGAACGAAATAAAGAGTGAAAACAGACTGCAGACCCTTGAATTTGCTTGGCCTAGCAATTTATCTATCACAATTTATACGACCCGCACTTTTTTTGGGCGATTTTTAGGGGGGTAATGGCCAATGACCATGAATTCCGAGTGAATACTATTGGGAAAACACGCGTTTTTCGAGTAGCTGGCTATTAAACTTGCATATTATCCACCAGAAAACCGTGGATACAGCGTGTTGGTCAGGAAAAACGGTAATAGTGGATGAGATGTGTCATTTCGAGTGGGTACGGAAACGGAGTGTGAGAGTGGATTTTGCAAGGAAATCGGGATTTTTTTGGACTTTTGTCGGGTTTTTTGTGTTTTTTGGATGCAACGCGAGAGACTGTCATGTAAGAAAGCTTTTGAAAGGTGATTCAGCTAGAAAAAAGGTTCTCTGAGAATTACTGGAAATCGAATTTTCACGTTTTCCAAGTAAGGATCATCGGAGTTCCGTGATTTTTGGATTTTCCTTCTGGTTTTTTAAACTTTTGGAACGGAAAATGGTAAACTGTCATGCAATACACGAATTGAGCAACGATTCAGAGAGCAACGTAAGTTTTTAGAATTTTTGGCAGTTCTGAAAAATTGACTTTTTGAACATTTTCGAAAATTTGTTATTGTTATTGTTATTAATATTGGATGCTTTAATCAGGTAGACAATTTTCAGTTTCAAAACTGATTCGACAAGTTTTGATTTTGGTAAAAAGTAGTTTTTTTTGCTGACAAAACCCTACCAGAAGCTCAATCCTGAACTTCCTCGCCTAATCGTTCGTTATAGATTTTATTTGGTGTAATTCAAGTCAGTTTAACCTTTTCAGGAGCCAAAACTGGATTCCCTCCCTGTAGTCGGCAGAAAAATGCCCAAAAAATAGCCGGGCAGTGGTAGCCATGAGGGGACGGGATGGGTTGAACGTGGACCCTTATCTCTCCCAAAGAGGGCTACTGACACTTTCTCAATTTCCCAAACTCAAAAAGGGCAGCAAAGGCTATCTTTTGGCCACCTTTCCAGCCAGCTTAAAATTTTTTAAACCCGTTAAACTAAGCTGTCTCGATGGAGGGAGCGGGCCCCAATTCCTGACCCCATCCGAAGGCTTCAGCCTCTTTCTCACCTAAATTCCAGGACTGATTCGATCGGCAAACATTCATTCTCAGTATCAAACGCTTTGCTGGCTGCCAATAAAAATCAAGGTAGCGAAGAAAAAGGCTGGGTGTTGATTGTGGGCACTGAAGTCGAAAAGAACGGAAAGTTCGGATGGTTGGAAAGGCGCCAAATCGACGGCAGAAGCTCAAATTTACTAAACTATAACGGAAATTTTTTAAGTGCGTGATTTGGCTGCCAGATTGTCGAAAAATACTAAAAATGCGTTGGCAAACAACCGTGCCGTCAAAATGGGCAAAAATTGTCAAAATTCAGAGGTTTGGCACCGTGCAGTATCGAGCCCAGAAGCTCTAAAAATGGACCAACGCATCTGACATTCTTGTAGCTTGTAGTCTGGCTGCCAGTTTGACAAAAACGTAAAACAATTTTATGTAAAAATTCCTATCAAAATTCTCTGCAATTGCCAAAATTCGGAAAGTTGGCAAGGTGCCAAATCGATATCAGAATCTGAAAAAAAAACGAAAATCACCGAAAATATTGGCACTGCTTCCGGTTTAACAGAAAAGTTTCTTTTAAAAATCTGTATTTTTCCATCCCTGGTAGTGTGAAAAGTTAATTTTCGAAAACCCCCGCATCCAGTGCAAAAATTCGAGAATATGGAATTTTGAGAACAAAAAAGTCAACATTATGTGACTTCGACTATATAAAATTTCGACCTTATGACAACAAATTTAAATTTTGTTAATTTTTGAAGATGGCATTATTTTTTAGGCAATCCCACGTTTTCTGTGACTTCTTTTGTGGACACGGTCATCCTCAAGACTCCCCACAGCCCCCATTTGCATTGTCCTCGAGAAGTTGACCCGAATCCCCCCCTCTAGAACCAGCCACGGTTTAACAGAACCGTTTATTTTAAAAATCTGTATTTTTCCATCCCTGGTAGTGCATGACCATTAGTGTGTGTCCTCGGGAAAACTGGGTTTTATGATTTTTTAAAGATTCTTTAAAGACCACGTTTTCTGTGACTTCTTTTGTGGACACGGTCATCCTCAAGACTTCCCACAGCCCCCATTTGCATTGTCCTCGAGAAGTTGACCCGAATCCCCCCCCCTCTAGCCATTCCCGATGGCCATTAAAGGGGTAGAGAAGTGGCGGTGGCCTTGACTTTAGACTCCTCGAAGTGGCCATTCCATCAAGGTCTCTTCTGTTCTCTCTCTCTCTTTCTCTCTCTCGCTCTCTCTCTCTCTCCAGTCAACCGTCAAATTGCTCTTTTTCCCGGAAAGAAACAGGGTCCTTCCTTCGCTTCGACGCCTCCAGGGGTTCCTCCCAAATCTCATTATGGGCTCCAAGCCATGGCATTTTTAATGTTTTTTTACACGCCGGTCGCTAAACTGCCCTCCAGGATAACCATCACCAGTGTCCATTCGGAATTGTCGCCCTTTCCGAAACTTTTTGATCCCATAGACCCATTTTTTGCAGCGTCAAGTACCAATGTTCTGATTGAATGATCGCTCATCTCGCTGTCCATTGCTTCTCACCCCTCCCAATTTTCGATAAGAAAGAGAAGCCGATTTGACCGATTATTTTCACCACGCTTCTCGTCTCCCTAAATTCCGACACGTGTCGCGGGCATTGCCGACAACGGCTGAAAATCGTTCTTTGGATGGAGCGGAATCAGTTGATGGTTCAATGGAATTTGGTGGAAAGTGGCTAGATTGACTTACTGGCTGGCCTACTGCTGAAAAACGCAGAAGAGGCTTTCAGAAAATGATGAAATTCAGGATTCGCGTTTTGGTCATTCTGGTGGTTTTTTGGTCGAATGTTCGACGAAAAATCGGAATAATAAAGTTTCTATAAATTTTTTTAGGCATTTTTAAGTATACTGACATACGGATTACAACGTATATGAAAACGTTAAATGAAAACGTCTCCATCAAATCTTTTTGCCTTTTTTGTGTATTGTGCTACGCAGATAACCCATTTTCAAGATAAAATAAACCAAGGAAGCAGAAATAAAATTTTTAAATGCCGCTTTTAAATACTCTGCAAAGCAAAGTACCGATTGTCAATAAAAAATCAAAGCTTTAAAGTTCCTATAAAAATTTTCCGACATTTTTTCCGTAATCTGGTATGCAGATAACCCATTTTCTAGATAACATCAACCTGGAAAGGGCGAATAAAATTTTTCTTCTACTTTTTAGCCATTCTGGCATGCAAAACCCACATTTGAGAAGTTGATGCCTCAGAAAAAGGCCATTGTCCGATTCTACTCACTTCTAAATCGAGTGTCCATTCT